TGAGAAACACCTCTAACCTGGAGTCTTACTCTGTCGCTAGAGTGCAGTGGTGCAATCTTGACTCACTGCAACCTTCACCTCCAGGTTCAAGTGATTCCTGCCCAGCCTCCTGACTAGCGTGAGATTACAGTAGTGGGTGCCACCACACCGGCTTACTTTCGTACCTTAGTAGATGGGTTTCTCCATGTTGGCTGTGCTGGTCTCGAAGTCCTGACTTCAGGTGATCCACCACCTTGGCCCCAAAGTATTGGATTACAGGCATGAACCCCGTGCCTGGTTCAGAAACTTTTTTTTTTTTTTTTTTTTGAGACAGAGTCTCACTCTGTCGCCCAGGCTGGAGTGCAGTGGCGCAATCTTGGCTCACTGCAAGCTCCGCCTCCCGAGTCACACATTCTCCTGCCTCATGCCTCCCTGAGTAGCTGGGATTACAGGAGCCTGCCACCATGCCCAGCTAATTTTTGGTATTTTGTAGTAGAGATGAAGTCACAACAGTGTTAGCACACAGGATGGTCTCATCTATCTCCTGACCTCGTGATCCACCCTGCCTCGGCCTCCCAAAGTGCTGGGATTATAGGCATGAGCCACCACGCCTGGCCCGAAACGTTTTCAGTTAGCAATAATTGTACCTTGGACAAATCTCAATGGCTATGATACTGCCACTGCACAAAGCTTAAAATTTAATTTTTAATTAAACAATTAATACATGAATATTTTCCTTGGAAAAAAGGAAAATATAGATGGCACTAAAGTTCCTATGATTACCACTTCCAATCTCATTCCCCTAATTCTCTTCTGGAAGTAACCACAATTCTTTCTTTCTTTTTTTTTTTTCTCGCTCTGTTGCCAGGCTGGAGTGCAGTGGTGCGATCTCAGCTCCCTGCAACCTCCGCCTCCTGGGTTCAAGCGATTCTCGTGCCTCAGCCTCCCGAGTAGCTGGGATTACAGGCACACGCCACCACACCCAGCTAATTTTTATATTTTTAGTAGAGACGGGGTTTCACTGTGTTAGCCAGGATGGTCTCGATCTCCTGACCTCGTGATCCGCCCACCTTGGCCTCCCAAAGTGCTGGGATTACAGACGTGAGCCACCGCGCCTGGCCTTTTTCTTGAGACAGAGTCTCGCTCTGTCGCCCAGGCTGGAGTGCAGTGGCGCAATCTTGGCTCACTGCAGCCTCCTCCTCCCATTAGTAGAGACGGGGTTTCACTGTGTTAGCCAGGATGGTCTCGATCTCCTGACCTCGTGATCCGCCCACCTTGGCCTCCCAAAGTGCTGGGATTACAGACGTGAGCCACCGCGCCCGGCCTGATCTGTGCTTTTTAACCTGTAAAAATAGGATAGTAATATCTGTCTCACAGGAAAAGAACAGAAGTGAAATGCAAAGTGGGTAATGTTTTCCTTTTTCTGGTTCCTCACTAAGAGCTGAGACCTACCGCAGAAACACAGCTGTACAGTACATTCAAGCTGAAAAAAAGAAACTCTTTCTTATTTCCAAGGGTGGAATTACCTGCCCTCTAATACCTTGTATTTTAAATATAAGTTTTTTGTTTTCCAAAAAACTCAACAGACATCACACACAGATTTTATAGTAGGAACAAGCTCTAGCCTGGCACAACAACACAGCCAGCCTCTTGGACAGGGGTCTGTCAGAGGAGGGTGATAAAAGCCAAAAGCCCGGAAAGTATTCTGCTTCCTTTATCCTCTTCCATTTTAGCCAGGCAAGGATGATTCTGTGTCTTACATCTTCTGTTCCCTGTGGCGTTCATTTCCAATTGCAGAAAGGAGGTCATATGACCAGATTCTTTCCTTAAACAGCTTTCCAGCTGAGTACAACAAAGACAAAACAAAGCAATCCTGCTCCTCCACAATTGTGCTCTTCCATCAGTCTACATGGCAGGGGAAACTCCCACAATAGCTTTTCCCACTGTCTGAGAGGAAGCATAAACCAGGATTTCCAAAGGCACCCACTGGTTGGTTCCCAGGTGCCCTAGAGTAGGATTTTTATTTTTATTATTATTTTTTTTGAGATGAGGTCTTATTATGTTGCCCAGGCTGGTCTTGAACTCCTGGGCTCAACGAATCCTCCTGCCTCAGCCTCCGAGTAGCTGGGATTATAGGCACTTCCCTCCACACCTGGCTCTAGGATTTTATTTTAGCATAAAACCAAATTCCATTTATTATCTACTTTGCCAGCCATGACACAAGTTTCTTTTTGAGACAGAGTCTCATTCTGTTGCCCAGGCTGGAGTGCAGTGGCATGATCTTGGCTCACCACAACCTCTGCCTCCTGGGATCAAGCAATTCTCCTGCCTCAGCCTCCTGAATAGCTGGGATTACAGGTGCCCACCACCACGCTAGACTGATTTTTGTATTTTTTAGTAGAGACGGGGTTTTACCATGTTGGTCAGCCTGGTCTCGAACTCCTGACCTCAAGTAATCCACCTGCCTCGGCCTCCCAAAGTGCTGGGATTACAGGCGTGAGCCACCCTGCCCAGCCCCTCTTTTTAAATTCTAACAAAAGCATATAAGATTTTTAGTTTCGTTTTTGGGACAGGCTGTTGCCTAGGCTGGAGTGCAGTGGTGTAGACATGGCTCACTGCAACCTTGACCTCCTGGGCTCAAGGGATCCTCCTGCTTCAGCCTCTGGTACAGCTGGGACCACAAGTGCGTGCCACCACACCTGGCTAATTTTTAAGTTTTGTTTTTTTTTTTTGTAGAGATGGGGTCTGTCTTTGTGGCCTAGGCTGGTCTCAAACTTCTGGGCTCAAGTGATCCTCCCATCTTGGCCTCCCAAAATGCTGGGATTGTGATTGTGGGCATGAGGCACCATGCCCAGCCCAGCCCATACAAGGTTTTTTTTTTTAGACAGTCTCGCTCTGTTGCCCAAGCTGGGGTGCAGTGGCACGATCTCAGCTCACTGCAACCTCTGCCTCCCGGGTTCAAGCAATTCTCCTGCCTCAGCCTCTCAAGTAGCTGGGATTACAGGTGTGCACCACCATGTCCAGCTAATTTTTATATTTTTAGTAGAGACAGGTTTTCACTACGTTGGTCAGGCTGGTCTTGAACTCCTGAACTCAAGTGATCCACCTGCCTTGGTCTCCCAAAGTGCTGGGATTACATGCTTGAGCCACTGCACCTGGCCCCATATAAAGTTTTTAATGTCATTATTCCCATATTACAGATTATTCCCATATTACAGATTAAGGGACTAAGGCTCAAAAGGGTAAATAAGTCTGTTCTTAAACAGTGACTTCCTGAGACACAGGAGATGTTTAAGAACAGTACTGGTAGGTGGGAAGTGGCATTTGGGAGCAGGAGTGAGAAGCATGAAAATGTAGCAAGAATAGAAAAGGTTGGGGAAATAGCAAATTAAGAGGAAGAAAAATGCAGGTCCTAGTAAGAATTGCTACTCACCACTGCCAGAGTCTGGGCCATGTTCTAGGTGTATTTAAACAAATCTCCATAGCAACCATCTGGTTTCTGTTTTTCTATGACAACACCGGCTTGCATTTCTAAATACAGGCACTGGTGAGGACAAGTGTGGGCTGGGGAAGGGAAGTGTGACCGCTGAGTCAAGGGGAAATTGCGCAAAAAAGGCAGATTCTCTTGGTATGCTCTCATCTATCCCCCTCTCCCAGCACACCCTCAAGGAAGGGGTCTTTCCTTGATTCATAGCAGTCATAGTTAAGAGCTGAGCCTTGTACGCACTTTGTCTTTTGTTTTGGAGACACAGTCTGGCTCTGTCACCCAGGCTGGAGGGCAGTGGTGTGATCTTGGCTTACTGCAGCCTCCTCCTCCCAAGTTCAAGCAATCCTCTTGCCTCAGCCTCCTGAGTAGCTGGGACTACAGGTGCCTGCCACCACTCTCAGTTAATTTTAAAATTTTTTGTAGAGACAAGGTCTCACTATATTGCCCAGCCTGGTCTCAAACTCCCGGGCTCAAGAATTCCTCCTGCCTCAGCCTCTCAAAATGCTGGCATTACAGGTGTGAGCCACTGTGGCCAGCCCATGATATCTTATTTTTACCAATTATGTAAATTCCTATCTAATAAGGGACACCCTTGGTGCAAGAGGGGGAAGGGTAGATGCTTTTGCTTCTCATTTTCAACCCAGGTGGCACTTTTGGAGATACTGAGGGTAAAAAGAGGTTGGAGGATCTCATCTGATAAAGGTGTGGTAGCCCCAGAAAGAAAGGTGAGAAAAAGGCAGCTAGGCATGGGGATGCAGGAATAAGTATAGATACTGTCATGAGGACTAAATGGGCCCAAACCCGAGTTACAAGAGCACCCCCACCTTTTATTTATTTATTTTTTGAGACAGAGCCTCTCTCTGTTGCCCAGGCTAGAGTGCAGTGGTGCGATCTCCACTCACTGCAAGCTCCGCCTCCCAGGTTCAGGCCATTCTCCTGCCTCAGCCTCCCGAGTAGCTGGACTACAGATGTCCGCCACCACACCTGGCTAACTTTTGTATTTTTAGTAGAGACGGGGTTTCACTGTGTTAACCAGGATGGTCTCGATCTCCTGACCTTGTGATCCGCCCACCTCAGCCTCCCAAAGTGCTGGGATTACAAGAGCCCCTTTCTTAAGTCAGCACAGTGATTCTCAACCAGGCAACTCCAGGGGGCAACTGGCAATGTCTGGGCCCAGACTTTTCTGATTGTTCTGATTAAGCAACTAATGGGTAAAGGACAAAGATGCTGTTAAACATCCTGAAATGCACAGGACAGTCCCTGCAACAAAGAATTACTTGGCCCAAAATGTCAGCAGTTCCAAGACTGAAAAACCTGAGTACAGAGATGCTGGTCCTACAGGAAACGTCTCCTTTGTCCATTGCAGGGGCACCAGTGTGACAGATAAAACCATTTGAGGGGGGCCGAGCCTGGTGGCTCACACCTGTAATCCCAACACTTTGGAGGCCAAGGCGGGTGGATCACCTGAGATCAGGAGTTCAAGAACAGCCTGGCCAACATGATGAAACCCTGTCTCTACTAAAAATACAAAAAATTAGCCGGGTGTGGTGGCTACCCGGGAGACTGAGGCAGAAGAACGGCTTGGATCCGGGAGGCAGAGGTTGCAGTGAGCCAAGATTGCACCACTGCACTCCAGCCTGGGAAACAAGAGTAAAACTCTGTCTAAAACAAACAAAAAACCATTTGAGGGGGATATACCACAGATGCCTGCTTGTTCCCCTGGGGCCTGAGTCCCTCTCAGACTTTCACACCAAATATTTTTAGTTTACTTCTGACAGAAATAAATTCAAGCCAGAATCCAGAGTTGCTGTGAAATCAGGTGGTTCTAGAAAATAGGATATTTTCCTATACCCTTCTTGATATAGGCAAAATTGCCCCACAGAGGCTGTGCAATCAGGCCAAGGACATGCTCTGGTCAGGCTGGTCTTGAACTCCTGAACTCAAGTGAGTATACTGAACTCAATGATCTCAAATGTCCCTTTAGTTCCAAAACCCTGTACTTTTGGATATTTTTTTTTTTTTTTTTTTTTGAGACGGAGTCTCGCTCTGTCGCCCAGGCTGGAGTGCAGTGGCCAGATCTCAGCTCACTGCAAGCTCCGCCTCCTGGGTTCACGCCATTCTCCTGCCTCAGCCTCCCGAGTAGCTGGGACTACAGGCGCCCGCCACCTCGCCCGGCTAGTTTTTTGGATTTTTTAGTAGAGACGGGGTTTCACCGTGTTAGCCAGGATGGTCTCGATATCCTGACCTCGTGATCCGTCCGTCTCAGCCTCCCAAGGTGCTGGGATTACAGGCTTGAGCCACCGCGCCCGGCCTGGATATTTCTTTTAAGAAATATCCTGGGCTGTACAGTTTGGGTCTGTAGAAAAGGAAATGACTCAAATGCAATAGAGGAAGCCTAAGGATGACTCAGACTTCCCTAATCATAAACGACACTTCAGACGTGGACCTTAAGGTCAAACCAGGACTCATGATCACTATATGACTTTTCTTTTGTACATGTGAGCAGGTGGCATTCACCAGCGGTGACTTTATTGACAGTAAGTTGCCTCTGCCAAAAAACACCCTCATATGTCTGATGTTTGAATTTCTCCTATGCAGAGTTTTGTCTTCAGTTAAAAATGTAAATACTATTGTTTCCTGTTGGAGCTCAGAGAAAAAAAAAAGGTAACTACTCTAGGATATGTATCAATTTGATACTACTTTATTTTATTTATTGAGACAGGGTCTTGCTCTGTTGCCCAGGCTGGAGTGCAATGGTATAATCACAGCTCACTACAGCCTCAACCTCCTGTGCCCAATGGATGCTCCCACCTCAGCCTCCCATTGCTGGAACTACAGGCACACAACACGCCTGGCTAATTTTTTTAAAAAATTTTTCATACAGGGTGTCCCTACATTGCCCAGGCTGGTCTCAAACTCCTGTACTCAAGTGATCCTCCCACCTCAGCCTCCCAAAGTGATAGCATTACAGGCGTGAGCCACCTCACCCCGGCAAGTTGATTTTTAACAAAAGATAACAGCAAAACTCCAGATACATTAGCAAACTACTTTCACAGCTGGATGTCAAGAAACTCCCTTAGTTTTATTTATTTATACACAGAGTCTCACTCTGTTGCCCAGGCTGGAGTGTAGTGGTGCAAACACAGCTCATTTTCAGCCTTCACTTTCTGGACTCAGACTATCCTCCCGCCTCAGCCTCCCATGTAGCTGGGACCACAGGCGCATGCCATCATGCATGGCTAATTTTTTAATTTTTTTGTAGAGATGGGGGTCTCATTTTGTTGCCCAGGCTGGTCTCGAACTCCTGGGCACAAGCAATCTTCCCCTCCCAAAGTGCTCGGATTACAGGCATGAGCCACCACTTGGCTCCAATCTAAAATTTTATATTCTTGCTACAATGTGCTGAACTTCCAGGTTAATCATTTCTGCTTCTAAATCATCTGCTCTTTGACTTTATAAAGGGTTCTCTTAAAAATAGATAAATAATAAAGAAAGAAACAAATAATTCTTTTGACCAGAGTTTTTTTTTTTTTTTTTGAGACAGGGTTTTGCTCTTGTTACCCAGGCTGGAGTGCAATGGCGCAATCCTGCCTCACTGCAACCTCCGCCTCCCAGGTTCAAGACATTCTCCTGCCTCAGCCTCCCTGGTAGCTGGGATTACAGGCAAATACCACCACACCCAGATCATTTTTTGTATTTTTAGTAGAGATAGAGTTTCACTATGTTGGCCAGGCTGGTCTCAAACTCCTGACCTTGTGATCCACCAACCCCAGCCTCCCAAAATGCTGGGATTACAAGTGTGGGCCACTGCGCCTGGCTTGACCAGTTTATCACCCCTTCCTTAGCCTATTTTCTTATCTAGCCATAATCAGAGAGATTCCTTACACAATCTTTCACCAGCACTTTCATCCCCTTGCTTCCTTCTTAGTATACTTTATCCATCTACAAATCACGACCCAGGATCTAAACAATAATGTCTTCCCTGCTCTTGTGCCCAGGGAGCTAGGTGCTTCTAGAGAAAATAGCACAAAGATATGGATTGGCACATGTTTATGGTACCAATCTATTAGAACCTCAACATTGCTTGCTTCCTAACTACCCGCTTCCCACCTTTTTAAAGAGATGGGGTTTGGTTATGTTGCCCAGGCTGGAGTGCAGTGGCTATTCACAAGCATGGTAATTGTGCACTGCAGTCTTGAACTCCTGGGTCGAGATCTTCCTACCTCACCCTCCCAAGTAGCTGGGACTATAGGCGTGTGCCACCACGCCTGGCTAATTTCATTTTTTGTAGAGATGAGTTCTTACCATGTTGTCCAGGCTGGTCTTGAACTCCTGGACTCAAGCAATCCCCCTGCCTCAGCCTCCCAGACTGTCAGGATTACAGGCCTGAGTCATTGGGCCTAGCCCCTCCTCTCTTCTATGTCCTTTTATGTTTATACTTTTTACACTCCCACCTCTCTAACATCCTACTTTACAAGTCTGACTAAAACTGTCAGACAAGGACTCCTATAAATTACCTAGCCCCGGTCAATAACAAACAGCTGGGAGTTTACTGTTGTTATATTTTCACCTTGAGTCTCCAGCAGGATAAGGCATATACAGTCCTACCTGAGACCACTTTCTTCCTCAGTTGGCTTCCCAACTAGGCTAACCCCACACGGCTGGCACATGGTAAGTGCTCAGCAAATGTCTGCAGAAGTAGACCATGTAACTAAACGATATCCACCTGTGCTCATTTCATCTCCTTTCTCTTCACAACCCTGCTTTTTGGCTATCTTTCTCTAATGAGCTCCAGGTTTTACTTATTCCTTTCACTGTTTCAATAAATATACCTCAATTGCTGCCATCCTAAAACAACCACAAAACCTCTCCACATTACTTAGTTCTACAAGCCAGATTTCACCTCTACAAATCCACTGAAATTGGTCTCAAAAAGGTTACTAACTGCCAAATCAAATGGATACTCAAGTCCTTTTTCTTTTGTATTTGGTTTTTGGGTTTTTTGTTGAGATGGAGTCTTGCTCTTGTAGCCCAGGCTGGAGTGCAATGGTGCGATCTTGGCTCACTGCAACCTCCGCCCCCTGCGATAAGTGATTCTCCTGTCTCAGCCTCCTGAGTAGTAGCTGGGATTACAGGCACCCGCCACCACGCCCAGCTAATTTTTACTATTTTTAGTAGAGACGGGGTTTCATCATGTTGGCCAGGCTGGTCTTGAATTCCCAACCTCAGGTGATCCCCGCCTACCTCAGTCTCCCAAAGTGCTGGGATTACAGGCATAAGCCACCGTGCCCAGCCCTGTCTACTCTTCTTTATACCCACTGTCATCACTTTCCTTGGTTCCTAACCATCTCTCACCTGAAATATTGTAGCAACATAATAAAGTGTCTTACAATTCAACTAGCCCATGATAATGGTTTACTGAGTGGAGTATGGAATTTCCACTTAGGTGTTACTTCACCTGAGTTACTTCAAACTTCACCATTGATACTTCATTTATTATTATTTTTTGAGACAGAATCTCACTTTGTCGCCCAGGCTGGAATGCAATGGTGCTAACTCGGCCCACTGCAACTTCTGCCTCCCGGATTCAAGCGATTCTCCTGCCTCAGCCTCCTGAGTAACTGGGATTACAGGTACCTGCCACTATGCCCAGCTTGGCCTTGCCCCTTGGATGCTCACTACAGTTACTCTGAATTAGTCCCAGTTTGCAGAATGTAATAACTCTGAATCACTTTACGTAGTTCTTTCCACCCAGAAGACCCCTTTCCCGATCTAACCCCTTTACCTGAATAAATTCTTCCACTTAATCAGATCTCAGCTTAGAAGCTATTTTCTGAGAGGATTTTCCTGTCCTTCCCCACCTTCTCAAACTGGGTAGGTTCCCCTACTCTGCG